TGAAATAGAGTTTTCAAAAAGATAAACAAAATCAATAAAACTTTAGCTAGACTAACAAAGAAGAAAGAGAGAAGGCTCAATAAATAAAATCAGAAATGAAAAAGGAGACATTACAACTAATACCACAGAAAAACAAAGGATCACAAGACTTCTATGAACAACTACATGCAAACTGGAAAACCTAGAAGAAATGGATAAATTCCTGGACACATGCAAATTACTAAGGTTGAATCATGAAGAACTAGAAAACCTAAACAGACCAATAACAAGTAATCAGATTGAAGCAGTAAGAAAAAGTCTTCCAACAAAGAAAACCCCAGGAACAGATGTCTTCACTGCCGAATTCTACCAAATACTTAAAGAGGAACTAATACCAATTCTTCTCAAACTCTTCAAAAAAATTGAAGAGGAGGGAATACTTCTAAACTCATTCTACAAGGCCAGTGTTAACCTCAAAATAAAAAGACACAACAAAGAAAGAAAACTACAGACCAATATCCCTAATGAACACAGATGCAAAGCACTTCAATAAAATACTAGCACAGGGAATCTAAAAGCATATTAAAAAGATTATACACCATGATCAAGTGGGATTCATCCCAGGAATGCAAGGATGGTTCAATGTACACAAATCTACAAATGTGATATATCATATCAACAGAATGGAGGAAAAAATATGTAATTATTTCAATAGATACAGAAAAGGCATTTGATAAAATCCAATACCACTTCATGATAAAAACACTCAACAAATTAGGTATACAAGGAATGTACCTCAACACAATAAAGGCCATATATAACAAATCCACAGCCAATGTCATACTAAATGGACAAAAACTGAAGGATTTTCCATGAAAATCTGAAACAAAACAAGGATGCCCACTTTCCCTACTCTTATTCAGCAAAGTACTAAAAGTTCTAGCCAGGCCAGTAAGGCAAGAGAAAACGATAAAGGACATTCAAATCAGAAAGGAGGAAGTCAAACTATCCCTATTTTCAGTTGACATGATCCTATACATCAAAAACCCTAAAGGCACCACCAAAAACTTGCTAGAACTAATAAATGAATTCAATATAGTGGCAGAACCAAAATTGACACATAAAAATAAGTAGCCTTCTTGTACGCCAATGATGCCATAGCTGAAGAAGAAATCAAGAGAGTGATCCCATTCACAATAGCTACAAAAAAAATTAAATACCTAAGAGTAAATTTGACCAAGGAGGTGAAAGACCTCTACAATGAAACCTATAAAACGTTGGTGGAAAACAATTGAAAAGCACACAAATAAATGGAAAGATATCCCATGTTCATGGTTCGGAAGAATTAACATCATCAAAATATTTGTATTACCCAAAGCAATCTACTCATTCAATGCAATCTCTATCAAAACACCAATGGCATTTTTCACAGAAATAGAAAAAATGGTCTTAAAATTTGTATCGAACCACAAAAGACCACGTATAGCTAAAGCAATCTTGAACAAAAAGAACAAAGTTGGAGGCATCATATTTCCTGACTTCAAAATATACTATAAAACAAAATTTTACTGCCATACAAAAAGACAAATCGACCAATGGAATGGAATAGAGAGTCCATAAATAAACCCACATATTTGCAGCTAACTGATTTTCAACAAAGGTGCCAAAATATACAATGGAGAAAGGACAGCCTCTTCAACAAATGTTGTTGGGGAAACTGGATATCCACATGCAGAAGATTGAAACTAGACCCTTATCTCTCACCATACAAAAAAAAAATCAACTCAAAATGGATTAAAGACCTAAATTTGAGACCTAAAACTATAAAACTACTAGAAGAAAACATATAGGAAATGCTACATGAAATGGGAGTGGGCAGCACTTTTTTGAGTGAGACTACAAAGGCACAGGCAAGTAAAGCAAAAACACACAGATGGGACTACATCGAACTGAAAAGCTTCTGCACAGCAAGGAACACTATCAACAAAGTGAAGAAACAACCTATAGAATGGGAGAAAGTGTTTGCAAACTACACAACAGACAAGGGGCTAATACCCAGAATGTATGAGGGACTTAAACAACTCAACAGCAAAAAAACAAATAGCCTAATTAAAAAATGGGCAAAGGACCTCAACAGACATTTCTCAAAAGAAGACACACCAATGGCAGATAGGCACATGAAAAATTGTTCAACATCAATAATCATCGGGGAAGTGCAAATTAAACCACAATAAGATATCATCTCACTCAGTTAGAATGGCTATTATCAACAGGACAAAAAACAAATCTTGGTGAGGATATGGAGAAAAAGGAACTCTCCTACATTGCTGGTGGGAGTGTTAATTGGACAGCCACTGTGGAAAACAGTAAGGAGGTTCCTCAGAAAACCAAAAGTAGATCTACATTACCACCCAGCTATCCTACGACTGGGTATATACCCAAAGGAAATGAAATTGGTATATCAAAAAGACACCTGCACTCCCATGTTCATCACAGCACTATTCACAATAGCCAAGAGATGGAATCAACCTAAATGTCCATCAGCAGATGAATAGATAAAAAATATGTGGTATATATACACATAGAACACTACCCAGCTATTAAAAAAAAAGATATCCTATCATTTTCAGCAACATGGATAGAACAGAAGCCATCATGTTAAGTGAAGTAATTCAGGCACAGAGACAAATACCTCATGATATCACTCTTATATGGAATCTAAAAAAAAAATTTATTCTACTCTCTATTTCTCATAGAAGTAGAGAGTAGAATAAATGGTTATCAGAGGTGGCGGGGAAGGGAGGGGACGGACGGGGAGGAGGGAAAGTGGTAGACTAATGGGTACAAAACTATGCTCTAAGTGAATCCCTGTGCAGTATATGCATGTATTGAAATAACATACTCTACCCCACAAATATGTACAAATAAAAGTTAAAATATTTTGAATTTTAAAAATATGAAAGATACATTAAGACAATCCCAGATAAATGAAAACTAAGAGAGTTTGTTACTAAGACCTATCCTACAAGAAAGGCTAAAGAGAGTCCTTCAGGCTGCAATGAAAGAGCACTAGTCAATAACTCAAAGCCAAACAAATAAATAAAGAACACTAATAAAGCACTTTTTATAAATCTATGTTAATGGTCAAACAATGTAGAAAGATGTATCTGTGATGCCAGCACTGTAAGTGGGGAAGGATGGAGGTGTGCAGGAGCAGTGTGTGGTACTGAAACTAAGCTGGCATTAGTCGGACTAGATTGTTATAACTTTGAGATGTTAACTGAAGAACAAAGAACATATAAGACGCGCAGACAACAAATAGATAAATGGCAGAAATAAATCCTTCTTTCTCAGTAATTACCTTATATGTAAATGAATTATACTTTCCAATTAAGAGGCAGAGATTGGGAGATTGGATTTTTAAAAACCACACAGGATCAATCTATCTGCTGTCTACAAGACACTTCCTTTAGTCATAAGAACAAGAAGAGGACAGAAGTAGATAGACAAAATCAGATATTCTATGCAAATTGTGACCAGAACAGCTGGGGTGGCTATACTGTCAGACAAAATAGAATTACATCAAAATAAGTTACAAGAGACAAGGAAAGCCATTGTGTATTGATAAAAGCTTCAATACAGCAACTAAATGTAAGTTATAACCATATACAACAGAGGCACAAAATACATAAAGCAAAAATTGACAGAATTGGCAGGAGAAACTGACAGTTCTACAATAATAGAGACTTCAATACCCTCCATTCAGTAGCAGATAGAACAACCAGACAGGAGACTAATAAAAAAAAAAGGACTTGACCAACACTATAAACCAATTAGACCTAACAAACATGTATATAACACTCCACCCAGCAACAGGAGAATACATATTCTTCTCAAGTGCACATGGAACATTCTGTAGGACAGACCATATGTCAGGCCACAAAACAAATTTCAATAAATTTAAAAAGACTGAAATCATACAAAGTATCTTTTGTGGTCACAATGGAATGAAGCTGGAAATCAATAACCAAAGGAAGTCCAGAAAATTTACAAATATGTGGAAATTAGGCAACATGCTCAAACAACCAATGGGTCAGTGAAGAAATCACAAGGGAAATTAAAAAAAAAAAAAGTATAAGCCAAATGAAAACAAAAACACAATATATCAAAACTTATGGGATATAGTGAAAGCAGTGCTCAAAGGGAAATTTATAGCTAAACACATATATTAAAAATGAAGTGAGCTCTCAAATTATTAACCTAACTGTACACCTTAAGGAACAAGAAAAAGAAGCAAAAACTATGCCCAAAACTAGCATAAGGAAGGAAATAATAAAGATTAGAGTGGAGACAAATAAAATAGAGAGTAGAGAAATAGAGAAAAATCAATGAAATCAAAAAGTTGGTTCTTCAAAAAGATCAACAAAACTGACAAACCTTCAGCAAGATTGACTAAGAAAAAAAAGAAAGAAGACTCAAGATTACTAAATCAGAAATGAAAGTGGGAACATTACTGCTGATTTTATAGGGATAAAAAGGATTATAAAAGAATACTGTGCACAACTGTGTGCCAACAAACTGAACAACCTCGATGAAATGCCCAACTTCCTTCTAACACACAGGCAATGCACTATGGTACAGTGTGGAGTGCTTTAAAAAATTACATTTATGTATATGTGACGTGTGTGTGTGGTGGGGGGGTGCGTGTAATACAGGGGCTTTAAAATACTCCAGAAAAATAACACCAAAGCGTCAGAAGTGGTTAGCATTAGGTGAAATCTGTGTTTTATTATATAGTTTCTTGGTCATCTCGATTTTCTAAAAATGTTTGTTTTGAGCATACAATGCTTTTGTAATATGGAAACAATAATAAAAGAAACTTCATCTGCGAAAAAAAAAAAAAAAACCCAGGAAACTGCTGCTTAGTCCAGGGGAAATTACATCTGTAGGGAAAAACTGAATTCCTCTTATTTATATCTAAATTGTCTGTGCTATAAAGTATGAGAACCATTGCTACACACCTCCTGGCTAGCTCCTCCGGCATTCGCCTCGGGACTAAGGCCTTGTCCAGCTGTATCTCCAACACGATGTATGTCCTTGCTTCTAAATATTGCTGTAAATACATTTTTCTCATTTATTATTTCCAGAAAAAATATATATGAAAAAAATTAGTACCATAAGATAATGTTCACAATATAATACGTGAGAAAATTGCATATATAAATGTAGTTTTATTTACTGTGATCACAACTGTTAAAATATTTTTTACATAGAAAAATAATTGGAAAGAAATACAGCAACAGTGGTTATCGCTTGGAGGAAAGGGTTTCAATTTCATTACTGAAAACTTTTCCTCAGCTGAAGCCCTATTTAATTTGTTCATAATACTTTCCCTGGAACAGTTTTAAGTGAATGCCACTCTTCCTTCCAGCAACCCTCCTTCATGGGCCCTGCAGAAATATTCTCCTCAGAACCTTCTTACATTCCCACTCACAGTCCCCTCAACCCCAGCTACCAACTCTGACTGCTGGACACTTCCACACAGATTTTTGCCAGCATCCTAAATACATCACCTCCAGAACTGAACGTATCATTTTCCCCATACCGCCTCTTTTTACTTTTCTCTTAATGGCATTGGCATCTATCCAGAAAAGGAGGCTTGAAACTTGAGTTATCTTTAACCTTTCTTCATTAATTCCCCCCAAAGCTTCTCAATTCCAAACACCTGCCTCTGCAGGTGTCTGACTTTCTTTACTGCAACCCCTGCCCTAAATCAAACTATCAGCACTCATCTGGGCTACAAGAAGAACCTGCAGCCCTACCCCATCTTCAATCTCTCTTTTTCACACCCGTGCAAGAATTTTGACCTGAAAGACTTACGATGTCTTATTTTTATGTGGCTTAAAAACCTTTGATGTGAGCAAACTTTTTAGCAAGGCTTTCAAGTCTTTCCATAACCTGACTCAACCTCTGCCTTCCTTCTTACCTCTTTCTAGAACCTCTCCTTTCTTTTTATTCCTCTATACCATACACTGAGTTAATTGACGTACCCTCAGTTCTGCTCTTACAAATTCTCTCTTGCCCTGAGTCAAGCTGGTCCCTGGCCCTGAAACGCCTCTCTCTCCAACTTCATCTGACAACGAGATCGCATCATCTTTCATTACTTAGTTCAGATGCCACCTCTTCTATGAAGCCTTCCCTGAGACTGCCCCATCCTAATGCATATTAATCTTTGTCTCCTCTGAGCCCACACAGAGCCTTTATTTTTACCTCTATTACAGTGCTCATCAAAATTATTCGCATTGTTACTTATGTACCTGTCTGTTTCTCCTACCAGACAGCCGAGTGTCCTGAGGGCAGATGAATAAACGCTGCAGACAATGCATCTTTGCATCCCTCACAGTGCTTAACACAGAAGAATTAATAAAAGACATAAAATTTTAACGCTGGAAAGAAGCTCAAAGTTAATCTGGTACCAACTCATTTTACAGAGTCTCAACAAGACAAAAAAATGTGCACAAGGTCATGAACTAGTCAGGGTCAAATATGGGACGGTAACTCAGATATCCTGCCCTGAGCATTTTCCAAAATAGCGCCTTGCTCAGTAAAGGTCTGATGAATTTTAACTTTATTTTCTCAAACTTTATGCATAGTTACCTGTCCTTCTGGATTGAGGCTTAGAGGGGGTTCACCTTCCAAAGGAGTATCTGAGCTCTGGGATTTTATACTAGGTGCTTGCTGAAAGAAAAAGAGCACATCTCAAAAACTGAATTCTTACATGGTCTTCACAATGGCAGGAACAGTGATCATTACATTGCATCGAAATGCAAACTATATTGACACAATTCACCAAATGAGAAACCAGTGCAAGCCTCTGGAATATAATAAAACAGGCAAAACCATCACCTTCTCAACAACCTACCATATCTCCAGGCCTAATCCTTCCATCTATATCTTTTTCTTTGACTGTTTTATCTTCTTTCAGATTCTTAGAAACAACTGGTTTGGATAGTGAAGAGTTAATTCCTCCTGTTTTATTATTCTGAATTAAATGATGGCCAGTATCCCGGAACAGGCTAAATAAACACTTGGTCTGAAAAGAAACAAACAAAAAAAATGCAATAAATTACAGGCAAATGAGGCAAACTTGAAAGAAACCCACATTATTTTTTAATATCATTTAGTCTTCCAGATAATTTCAATGTTTAGAATCAGAGGGAGAGAAGAGACCTGAAAAACTTCACTTCATTTCCCTATTTCTAGAACAGGTGAAACCACCACAGGAAATAAGCTGCCTACTCTGTTACTCATAAATTCTTAAGAGGAGACCTTACAGACTGGCTGGATTCTGGTGTCCTATAACTCTTGTCATCAGAAAGTTTTTAATCTTTAACACATAATTTCAAATTAACTTTAATTGTGAGAATTCATTTCTATACAAGAAACAGTACCTGTTTAATTACTACTGGCCTATCAATTAAAATCGGAAGAATAAGACAAATTTACAGTTCAAAGTAAAACCTTTGTATGGAAAAATTCAAACTATATATAAATCACTAGAAAGAAATCGTACAATTTTTTAATTAAAAGAAATAGATAATTCTGAAAATAATTTATGCTGAATGAAAAAAGCCAGACACCCCTCCTCCTCAAAAAAAAAGAGGGGAGGAGTGGACGGAGGTGGGAGACAGGGGTAGGAGAGGGCATGGGGAAGCCCGGGGGGGATGGGTATGTTCAGTACCTTGATTTGATATCACAATATATATATGTATTGCTTTAAAACTGTACCCTGTAAATATATACATCTTATCATTTGTCAATTATACCTCAATAAAGCCATTAAAAAGGTAACTCAACAAAATTAAAAATTGTAAATGCTAAAAATCGCTCACAACCCTACCACTTCTACCATAATTAATGTATTTCATAGATTCAAAGATGCAAAATTGTTTCACATTTTAACATCTCTGGGATATGTACAATGAAACTATTTCACGTAAGTGGTAGTCTTTTGCATCTATCTTCTTTCACTTAGCATAGTGTTTTTAAGGTTCATCCATGTTGCTTGAATCAGTGGTTCATTCCTTTTCTAAAAACCAACTTGAGGCATAATTCACATCCCATGCAATTCACCCATTTAAAGTGTGCAATTCAATGATTCAAAGATATTACACTATTAGTAGTTCATTCCTTTCATTGCTAAATAGTATTCCCTTATGTAAATATACCACATTTTTTTTATCCATTCACCAGTTGCAGCCATTCAGATTGTTGTGAGTTTTTGGCTGTTGTAAATAATGCTGCTATAAACATCCACATACTTATCTATATGTGAATGCAGGTTTTCATTTCTCTTGAGTGGGTTCCTAGGAATGATTTGCTGGATTGTATGGTAAGTTTATATTTATCATAAATTTTCTATATAGTTGCCCTATCAAGTATTGAGAGTAGAATATTGAAATTTCTAAATATTATTGTCAAATTGTCTATTTCTCCTTTCAATTCTGTTGGTTGTTGCTTGAAGTATTATGAGATTATTGCACTGTTAGGTGTGTGTATATTTATAACTGTTCTATCTTCCTGATGAATTGCCCATTTAATCTTTATGATAAGCCACTCCATCTTTAGTGATATTTCTTATCTTAATTCTATTTTGTATGGTATCACTCAGCTCTGTTATGTTTTCTGTTTTCATAGTATTGCTTTTCTCTTTTTACTTTACCTTGTGGTTTTTTGTTTTTTTTTTTTGTCTTTTGTCTTTTTCCATGTCCGGCAACGGATCGCAACCCTCAGTGTTGCCCCCATACCGGACCGGGGACCGGCAATGAGATTGCAACCCTCGGCGCTGCCCCCACGCCTCGCTCAGCCAGTGAGCGGGAACCGGTCTGTATGTGGGATCCGAACCCTCGGGCGGGAGCGCCGCCACGCTTCCCAAGCGGCGCACTATCCAGTGCGCCACCGGGCCGGCCCTACCTTGTGGTTTTGAATCTAAGATGTGTCTATTTTAGACAGCTATAGATAAATCTTGATTTTTTAAAAACCAATCTCATAATCTCCATCCTTCGCAGGTGTGTTTAGACCACTCACATATAATGTTATTGTTAAAAAACTTAGATTTGTTTGCCATTTTTCTATTTATTTTCCATATGTCTTCTTTCTTTTTTGTTCCTCTATTCCTCCTTTAACGGCTTTCTTTTATGTTAAATAAATATTTGTGATATCCTATTTAATTCCTTCATTGATATGTGTATATACACACACACATACATATACATATATGTGCATGCACATACATATGTATACATATATACGTATATGCACACACAATTTTCTTAGTGGTTGCTTTAGGAATTACAATATGCATCTATTACACAATAATACTAACTTAATTCTGGTAAAATAAAGACTTTGCTCCACTGTATCTCCATTCTATCTTCCCTCCTTTATGCTATTATCCTATAAATTAAATTTATATGTTATAAACCAAACAATATAATTAATGCTTTATCCAATCATGTTTTTCAAAAAAATTAAGAGAGGGCCGGCCCGGTGGGGCACTGGAGAGTGCGCCGCTTGGGAGCGTGGCGGCGCTCCCGCCGAGGGTTCGGATCCCACGTGGAGACCGGTTCCCGCTCACTGGCTGAGCGCGGAGCGGGCGCAACACTGAGGGTTGCGATCCCATCACCGGTCCCCAGTACGGGCACGACACTGAGGGTTGCGACCCTGTTACCGGTCAGTAAAAAAAGACAAAAAGGGGAAAAAAAAAAATTAAGAGAAAATTATGAGAAAAATATATTTCTAAGCTCTTTTATATAAACTTATATTTAACCATTTCTAGTGCTCTTCATTTCTTTTTATGGATTCAAATTAGCAATTGGTGTCATTTCCTTTCAAGCTGAAGGACTTCTTTAGTATTTCTTATGATACAGGTTTGCTAGCAAGAAATTCTTTCAGCACTTGTTCATCTGGGTATGTCTTTGTTTTTGGTTGATAGGTTTTTTGGGGTTTTTTTCATTCAGAATTTTGAGTACGTTGTTCCACTGCCTCTAGTATCCATTGTTTCAGATGAAAAATCAGCTGTTAACCATATTGACTCTCCCCTGTATGTGATAAGTTGTTTTTCTCCTATTGCATTCACAATTTTCTCTTTGTCTTTCTCTTTCAATGCTTTGACTAAAATGTGTATGTATGTTATGGGTCTCTGTGTGCTTATCCTACCTGAGATTCTCTGAACTTCTTGGATCTGTAGATTAATGTTTTCATCAAATGTGGGACATTTTCAGACATTATTTCCTTCTCCTCTTCTGGGACTCTTATTACAGATATGTTGGTTTCCCTCCACCAAAATCATCATTTCAGCTGACAACACTGCTGGGCATGGGTCCTTCAATCATTGCTCAAAATTATGTGAGCCTTCTCTGGCTGTAAAAGCAAAGTTGCTGGTTCTCGCAGCCTATCCTGCCCTAGAAAAATCACTGCACTGATTGAGCTTAAGGTGGAGGTGGGGAATGCAGAACATTCTTGCCACAGGCAAGAATACCTCAAACTCCTTAGCTTTCTATGCATTAGTACTTCTCAGTTTATCAATGCTTTTGGTCAATTTTGGAAGTACTGAAATGTCATTTTATCCATTTGTCCAGCTTTATGGTTGCTTTTTGGGGAAGAGCATTTGCCAGCCTTCTCATTTGACCACAGCCAGAAATATTTCCTCTCCAATATTTTCTATGTATTTTAAAAATTGTTGTGAAAAACTATGTAATTATTTATATCCAGATTTTTTATTTAGAAGACTATCACATGCATCTTCTCATGTTTTAAAATTTTTCAAAATGATAATTTTTTTCTTTTCTTTTTTTTGCAGCTGACTGGTAAAGGGATCTAAACCTTTGACCGTGGTGTTATAACACCACCCTGTAACCAACTGAACTAACCAGCTAGCCCAAGGATAATTTTTAATGTGCATACAAGATTCCCTATCATATATATATAATAAAAATTAGAGCTAAAATTGTCTACATATCCACTATATTCCTAGTGCTTTACATATTTTATCTTATTTAATATGTAAAAGAAGTTATTGTCTTCATTTTACTAATTAACAAAGTTGAGAGAAATTTGGTCACTTGCCCAAAAGTCACCCACTACTAAATGGCAGTTCCAGAATTCAAACTTGAGGCTGCCTGACATCAAAGCCTATATAACCTTTCTATTATGATACACTCTTTCCCTCCAATTCACCAAGAATATTTGCATGCAGAAAGTTTGAATACATCTCTGATTATTCCCTTAAAATAGATTCCTGGAATTAGATGTCCTTTGGAAAGGATAATAAGTATTTTAAGCTTTTAAATACATATAAACAAAACTTTTTTTTGCAAAGAATTCATACTAATTTCCACTTCTACTAGCAATCAATGAGAGTTGTTTCACCATACCTTTGCTACCAATTGGCATTACAATGTTTTAAAGAATTGCCTAATTTTTATAAGTAAAATGATGTTATTATTTAAATTTGCATTTCTTTGATTAATAAAAAGGCCAAATGTCTCATATTTTTTAGCTATTTAGTTCTTTTGTGAACTATTTCATGTACTTTGCCCATTAAAAAAAGTTAGTTGATATGTTTTTCTTCTAGATTTGAAAAAACTGTTCTATATTTTAGGAATAGTAGTTATCTTTCTGACATATATTCAAATATCCTCCTTAATTTTTCAGTTATATTGTAATTTTGTTTACTATGCTTTCTTTTACATATAGAAACTTTTCATTTTTGGTAATCGAAATATTTTCTTTTATATCTTGTGTTGCTTTCAAGCCTAGGAAGTCATCCCTTAATTCATATCTTTAATTAATAGCCACTTCTAATTTTATAGTCTTCACATTTAACTTATTTTAATGAATTTATTTGAAATTTATTTTGATCTATGCTATATGTAACATTTTTTGCATCCTTTTTTCCATTTAACTATCTACAAAGCATTAATAATTATCCTTTCTACTAGATGCAAATTTCTTCATTTTTATTTATCACAATTTACTAAGTCTTTCTTTTTTTTTCTTTTTTTTTCCCTTTTTGTCTTTTTTCGTGTCCGGCAACGGGATCGCAACCCTCGGTGCTGCGCCCGCCCCTTGCTCAGCCAGTGAGCGGGAACCGGTCTGTATGTAGGATCCGAACCCTCGGCGGGAGCACCGCCACACTCCCAAGCGGCGCACTGTAGCAGTGCGCCACAGGGCCGGCCCCAACTAAGTCTTTCTTTATCAGACATTTAATCTTACTTTTGGTTTTTGCTATTACAGATCCTAAAAAGTTTTCATGAGTTTGGATTTTTTTATCTTATTGTTTCCTTAAAATAAATCCCTGTAAGTGTGATTTCTGGTTCAAAGGGCATGACATAGAAAGTTTACTACTCAGTTGGTGTGTAAATAGATAATGGGTCTTTCATGCCTCTATTATTGAAAAATAGCTTTCTTAAAAATGATGAAATAATAATACATTTTCATTGCTGTTGTCACTTTCTCCTTGGAAGCAACATAATAAAACTGATTTTCTGCTTGAATATATATATATATATATATATATATGATTTTAACATTTTAATACCTGAAAATTAAAGAAAAATCTATCTTATTAATTATCTCAGAGATTTAAGTTTTGCATACTGAACACAACAGACTTCTTTCATTATCCTAAAGGTTTTGTATCCAACTTTATTTAGGTAAAATTGAAGTACAATAAGCCATATATATTTAAAGTATATGATGTTATTAATTTTGACATATGTATACACCTGTAAAACCATCACTATGATCAAGATAACCAACATTTCCATCATCCCTAATATTTTCCTCTCATTCCTTTATAATCCATCCCTCTCTTTATCTCGGCCCCCAAGCAACCATTAATCTGTTTTTTGTCACTATAGATTACTATACTAGCATTGCATATAAATGGAACCATATATATATATATCTATATATATATATATAGATATACTCTTTATTTGCCTGGCTTCTTTCATAAGCATAATGTATTTGAGATTTATCCATGTTGTTGCACGTAGCAATAGTTCATTCCTTTCTATTGCCAAGTAGTATTCCATTATCTGAACATACCACACAATTTGTTTTTCTGTTCACCTCTTCATGGAGATTTGGGTTATTTCCAGCGTTTGGCTTTTCATTATCCTAAAGTTTTTAAGGTTTGCAAGTTTCTATATTTAACATCCCAGTATACCAACTGGTTCTAAATATCAATTGCAAAGATGTGTTTGCTAAAGATGTAAGTAAAATACATATATAAAGGATAAATTAGTATGAAACCTTTTATGCAATTTTTTCTTACCTTTTCATGGACTGTACTGTCTAGGTAAGGGTAAACATGAAAAGCTCCCCGAATCCTCTTCACACCTGGATACAGCAATGGGACCATATTAACATAAGCCACACCGTGAAACGAAAGCTGACTTTCATCCTCAGTCTAAAGGAATGAAATCAGAAAGTTGTTAGTGCTGTAAAGCAATGTACCATAAGGTATGGAGCTCTGATTCAGCAATTCAAAGATCCAGTTTTAGAAACTAATTCTGCTAGTGATGTGATTTTGGGCCAGTTACATAGATGTTTTGGGCCTCAGTTTCTTTATCTTCAAAATGGATCTAATAATACCATGATTACTAAGATAATGCACATAAATAGTATTAATGAATAGTAAAAGCAGTAGTGGAATCAATACATACTCTAATTAATTAATAATACATATCTTCAACCAAAAAGTCAATTTCACCATGGTGCTTCTTAGGAGAAAGTGAAACTTTAAAAAAACAACAATAACAACAACAACAACAAAGTAAAAGAAATCAGAAGCTGTGGCTTTTTTTTTTTTTTCCTTTTTGTCTATTTTTCGTGACCGGTAACGGGATCGCAACCCTCGGTGTCGCGCCCATACCGCGACCGGCAACGGGATCGCAACCCTCAGTGTCGCGCCCGCACCGTGCTCAACCAGTGAGCGGACCGGTCTCTATATGGGATCCGAACCCTTGGCAGGAGCGCCGCCGCGCTCCCAAGCACCGCACTCTACCGAGTGCGCCACCGGGCCAGCCCAGAAGCTGTGGCTTTTAACTTTATTTCACAGACTCATAAGAATGACAGGGGCTCTACAAATTATCTGGACAGTGATGACAAATAGGCTTTAACTTATGCCTAAATTTTCATTAATGGGTAAAGGTGTTTGTTGAGAAAGACTGTGTATTTATCTGGGTTCAGAAGGGAAGAGTGCTTTGATTGACAGCAATATCTGCCATGCATGAAGGAGGATAAATGAGAGTCTGCTATCACGTATTTCTCATAGCTGATCTCATCTAAACTCTCACTGCAATGATGAAGAACATGTTAATAAATATATCCTAAAATCATGTTTAATAGTTTGCCATAGAAAACCTTTACTAAAAAAATCAATTTTGTGAAAGAAAGCATATTTAATCCCAAGCTTAAAAGTAATCACTTTAATTTCACCTATCATAATAATAATTAGAAACTAGATTAAAAAATCCTTAATTCACATGAAAACATCATGTGGTTTAGAAATCTAACGAAAGTTAGCCAATACATATTATATAATACCAAGGGAGAAATGGTTACATGGTGACAATATTTTTATTCTGCAAAAATAACCTATTTTTAAAATCATTCAAATAATTTAGGTACTTGCTAAGTACCTGCTATGTGCCATGCATCATGCTAGGTATTGTGGAAAATACAAAGCAGTCTACTATCTGACTACTACCCTCAGAGAGTTTATGAAGAGCAGAAAAGACCAGACATATACAGGTAAAACAACAGAGAACATATTCTAGGCTTATCAAAGCTACATCTTTTCAGAATAGTAGTTCATTTATGAACCATATTATACTAATTAGCAGGCTAAAACATTTTAAGTAGGTAAATCTAAGCAAAATTCAGAAAAATGTATTCGGTTGAACTATAATGTTAATATTTGGCCACTTCTGACCTAGTTTTTTGGTATGATTTTATGTTTATTTTGTATAGTAAAACTATAATGAAACGTTAAAGGGAAATAGAACATCTGGGAATAAAGCCTGAACCATTTTTAGTGAATAATGAAGGGCTAGGGTGGCCAGTAATCCTGGATTTCCCAGGAGAGAGGGGTTTCCTGGGACAGGAGACTTTCAGTGCTAAAACCAGGAAAGTCTAGGGCAAATCAGGATGAGGTCATCGCCCTAGAGAAAGCAGCCATATCAATTCACATTTTCCTTTGGTATCAGAAATAGAAGCAGAATAACAGGATGGGTTTAATCCACCATTTCTTATATAAATATTTTTGAGTGAACATATTTACCTTATCAACTTTGCCGGCTTTCCCTCTGGGCGCTGTAACCATAGGAACTCTTGTGATCTCTACCGGCCAAAACCTGCAATCAGCAATTCGCTTCTGAAAACTGCAAATCAGGAATCAGCCCATTAGCATTATATGCAAAAATTCAGTCCGTATAATTTAGGTTAAAGAGAAATAGTCCTCCTCTCTTTTAGAAAGTAATGTAATGCACATATATAAAACTTTTTATTAGGTTGGTGGTTTTATAAAACTTTCCAAATCCATAAAATTCCAAAAATAATTCTACTCAACTGCTAGCAGAGGCAAATTGCACATTTTGGGGAGCAATTTTGCAATATGAATCAAAAACCTTAAAAATGTCTACAATCTCTGAACCATAAATTCTACTTCTAGTGATCTGTTCTAGAGAAATAGGCAAGTCTGCAAGTGGTATAAAGTATGTTTATTTCTACTGTGAAAAGAGTGGAACTCCTAGTTTTAGCTCTGACACAGCTTTGAAGCAGTCCCTTTTGCTCTCACAATAAGAGAAAAGCTGGTCAAATTGAAAATCAATAACTTTTCTTAGGTCCGTCAGAGAATTGAGGTCACAGGGCAAACTGCCACCTTGAAATCTGGAGAGATGGAAAAATACAGAGCATCACAGCCCAGATCAGCTTGCAGACAGCTGAAGCCACTAGAACCAGTAACTGGTAGAAATACTTTAATGCTAATTTTGACCAATTGCTGGAAGCTGAGTGTGGACTACCTGGGAGTTTAAAAACTCCAAGGGGCCCAGTCTTAAGGGTCCACACACTTTCATGGGTTTTAAGTCCAGGAGCTCCACCAGGTTCTCATGGTGAAGGTAGTAGACAAGTCCCTCATGTTTCAGGGAGGGAGAGGGGAAAAGTAACCATTCTAAAATGCCCAGAGTGTTCTCCATAACAAAGGCCTAACCTTTAAAAGAAACTACTTTACCAGAGCCTTATCTGGTAGGGCAATTAGACAACCCCAGTCCTGTCTCAAATAAAGAGAGCAAGGAAAAAATACTTCTGAAAGTCACAGCCTAGGGACTCAAACTCATTGAAATACTGAGAATTTAATCACAGGATTATAGAATGCTTCCCCTCCCCAACAATTTGCCACCACATCTACAGGGTTCCAGTACAATAACAGTGGATTACAACTAAGAGGGCTGCAAAACAGAGACTCTATTTAAGAAGGAGTTCTTAGGCAAACCCAGAGACAACAGGGGAGGGAGAAAAAGGAAATTGAAGCCTCTTCTGGTACTTACAACTGCAGCAAACATTAAACATAGCCCAGCTCCTAACCAGATTAACATAAAACTTCACAGTAAAAACCCTAATTACTTCAATTCTTATTACCCAATACACAATGTCCAGCTTTCAATGAAAAATTAAAAAGAATGCTAAAAGGCAAGAAAAAATGCAGTCTGAAGAGACAAAACTAGTATAAGAACTAGATTCAGGGGCCGGCCTGGTGGCGCACTGCTACAGTGCGCCGCTTGGGAGCGCGGCGGCGCTCCCACCGAGGGTTTGGATCCCACATGCAGACCGGTTC